AAAGATGCCTTGTAAGTTGTATTAACTTTGGTTTTGTTTGATATTGGCTCTGCTTAGAAAGCTTAGAACTGAAGTTTTTCGAAAACTTCCCTGAGTGTAGACCCTGTTCTCGTTTGTTTTCCTTTTTGGGCCTATGAAGATGTAGCTGGCTATGTACACACTGGTATCTCCCTTTGCACTGGCCGCTTGGCCATTTTAAATTGCAGCTTTTGGCCCTCTTTTTGGACAGCTGGCAAATGAGTTTAGGTAGCTGACCAAGCATCGCCTGCCAGTTTGGCTTTTCCCTTTTCGCATGCTGCACTCGGACCCCAAATAAATTTCGACTGCCCCCCGGAATTTCCCTTTCCCACCATCGAATCCCCCGACCTTTTTTCCGAGCGATGCCAATAACGATAACAATAATTGCCGTCCAGGGACAAATATGTTCACCATTTTCCAATAGCGTCAACCGATGTTTGTTTCTAATAAAAAATGAACGCAGCGTGCGCACAGCTGTAACTGTAAAAGCTTTTCAACTGTCCAGTTCGGCCACATATGTCAGTGTGTGTGTATATGTGCGTATCTGTGTGGGGGGTGTCTGGCTGTGTGTTGGTGTGGGTGTGACCAACGCCAATGTTTTGCTTGATTCCACATTTGTTTGTTCATTGGATTTGTGTTTTTTTATTTTTCACTCTTTTTTCGATTTCTAGTTTTGGGACCTTTTCAACCCCCTTCCACCATTTTGTACTATCCACTTGGCAATTTTTTTTTATTTTTTAAAGCTCTGAAATCGATTTGAGTTAAACGTTCTTCAAGCACTGGCCACCCTGCTGTTTTTGTTGTTGATATTTGTTATTGTTTCTGGCGCTTGTTTATTTATTTGTTTTGGCATTTCACGGAGCATGGCGCAAAACGCTCGCCCTTTTGGCATGACTGATTTTGTACCATAACCCAGGATACCATATACCATACAATATATGTAGTTGTATGTATGTGGGGCTCAAATACAAATGGGTCCTCGTGTGCGTCCGAGTTCTGAGTGATTGCTTGGGATTTGCCGGGTCCATGGATACGGGAAGAGCTTACAAATTTGAGTCACTTTTCACCAGCCGGACTATTAAGCATTTGGCCAGAATTCCAAATTAACAAATGGGTTGCATTCGATTGCCGATTCATTTCAGGTCTATAATAGGTAAACCGGCGGATAAGCGAAGTGGACCTTTATTTTTGACCTTTTTCTAAACATGTTTCTGTCTAGTCCCATTGATGAAAACTGTCTCTTTCAAATTGTTTGTTATTATTAGATGCTGGAGTTTATATGCTGATATTTGATACTAATTTAAGAACTGGTTTTCAATTATTTCACATTTAATCTTAATTAATTTTAGATCGTTACCCTTCATGGATTACAATGGATTTCACTAGTTTACAAAATAAGATTTTAAAATTGCTCCAAGAAGAATAATGGTAGTTCCACAACATTTTTAAAGGATTCGTTTTTTTTAAAGATCTTTAAAAGAAAATGTTTTGTATCCCAAAGTTTTAAATTATATCTCGAGTTGCGCCTAACCAATTTAGGTGATATATGCTTTAGTTTACAACTATAATGTAGTTTAGTGATATCTGTTGATATGCTAAAAACTCGAAAATAATTCCAAATTATCAAAGTTTGCCGAGCTGTAACTCACAATATACTTTGCATATCAATTTTCCTTGGTTTTAAGTCCCACACAAACATTTTGGCCCATTTAAAACTACTGATTGGCATTGAATGTCGCCAAAGGAATGGGATGGAAGGTCCTTTTGCGTTGCATGGCGGATGCCATCCGAGCACGAGTTCAAAAGTAATTTACCCTCAAAGGGACTTTGGCATGCAGGGCAGTACAAAAGGACGGCCGACTGCAGATTTCAAGCCCAACCAGAATTCCGATTGCAAAGCATAAATAGCTGCCCGATGCACTTGCCCATATCCACATATCCTTCGTATTCCCATCAGCATCCTTTTTGCAGCCTTGCACACGAGCGGTCATAAACTTAAAGCCTTCCAGGAACCCGTTCCCTTTTGTGTGTGCGCCTATCGGCTGAGGGAAAGTTTTCTAATTAAGTTACTCATACGCACCGGGTGCCCGAGTGCATATGACTGACGTGAAAGTAATTTTCATAAAAGGGAAGTGGGTAGCCGGGCCGTTTCCATGCTGGCTGTGAAAGCGAAAACCTCTAAAAAACTTAAAGCTCCAAAGTCAAATTACCAACTCGGCTTTAGGTTCGTCTTTGGGAAAGTTCCAGTACAGTTGATCATCCGAAATTGGAAACTTGCATCTATGGATTTTTCGGAAGCATTTAGTTTCGGTTTTGGTGGTAACTCAACTTTGTTATGCATTCCTCTATAACAAGGTTATCATAACTATTGTATTGGATTGGAAAGTTTGTGAATTAAGTTTAATAGAAACATATTTTAGCGGGTTTATTTTACAATATATACATTTTTCTATAATAGGGTTATCATAACTATTGTATTAGATTTGAAAGTAAGTAAATTAAGTTTCAATATAAACCTATTTTAGCTGGTTTATTTTTCAATATATAACTTTTTAGTTTGTAATTAAAACTTATAGACAATAAAATTTCTGTGCTGCTGATCAAAATTGGCAATTTAGAAAGTTGTTTATGTAATGAAAGTGGAAGTTGTTTTGCAACACAATTTATTTTGAAATAACTAAATGCGTTTAACGTTTAAACAACTTTTATGTTGTGATATCACAGAAAATTCTTTGAACCAAAGTAGGTTCTTTAATATACGTTCGAATTTAATCAAATTTGTTCTCAAAATTGTATTTTAATCTATATTATTTTGTTTTATGTTTTTAATGAATTAAGGGGTGCTTATACGAGCATATATTATATGTTAGTACTTTTATGAATTAAGTTTGGTTATCAAGCGCTAATTTTTCTGCAGTGCAATTTAAAAACCATAATGGATGTGATTAAAGAATATTGGTTTTTATTTCTGAAAAATCTAACTTAATCTGAATTAGGCTGCCGAATTTCTACTGTACTTGCTGCATTTGCCGCGCTGCAATCCCAAGACATCTGCCGGCTGCCTATTAAATGGACTACGCCGCGTCTTTGACGTGCCTTATGGCCCCATGGCCTTATGGCCTCCTGGCAAGGCTCTGAAAATAAGCTGCAACATTGTAAGATTGCTGCAACATGCTTAACATAATTATAAAGTTGCCAGCACAGCTCGCCCCCACGACTTTGTCGTCCTTGTTAATTCAGACACTTTGCACGTAAAATGTATGAAACACTTTTCCCCGCCCGGAGGCATCATCATCGTCTTCGGCTGAGGCTGAGGCTGAGGCTGAGGCTCCTTCCCCATTTCCATCTCCATTTTAGCCTTCTTAGCAGGTCGTCCTGCGATTTCCATTTCCCAGCGCTGCTGCTGCGGCTGAGGTCGCTGCTTGTTTTACTTTTAATTGGAAATCTCAAAAGATTAGTTATGCTTCGGTGCCAAGAAGCCTTTCCCGCTGCTGCGAGCCAGGCCCTCGTAATTGGTGCATTGCAATTCAAGAGCCCAACATGCACGGCTGCCTGTGTCTTGAGGCCAAGTGTATATACACATCACACTGCCTTTCAAATTGTATGCAAGCAGGTCAAATAATGGCAACAAACGAGCATTTTTCATACACCCAAACTTTGTGCGAAGCCATGCAAAAGTTACGTATACGCAGCGTTGCCTCTTGAGTCCGCCGCCAATCATTAAGTTTGGCAGGGGCTTAGGGGAAATTGATGAAGCTGGCAACTGCCAGTGACAACAAGTAACTCCCTCCAACCACTGCTTTAAGCTGATTTTCCTGCAATCTGGAAGCTGGTGTGTGAAAATCCCAACTAATTGCTTTCTCAGCCAGCGGCCAAAGGCCCCAGAAAAAGAAAACATGAAAGGGTCAAAACCAGAGGGCACAGAAAAAAAATGAACAATATGAAAATGGTCAAAAGCGAGGTGAACCAGAGGCCAAACTGCAGTTGGCCAAAGTTGTCAACGGCACACAAAACTTTGGCGACAAAGTGCAATCAATGGTGAATTATCACCCATTTCAATGAGCCGCGCTTGGCCCCCTTGGAAGTAAAAAGCACCCGAGGGAGAAACTTGAAGTAGTGCCAAGAAAAAATAAGTTGTGAAAGCGAAAAAATGGCAGAGAAACTCGTAAAGGAAAACGAATCAATTTTTAAGGCTTCTCAGCGACTTGTCAATAACATAAAAGGAGCGCTGAAAAATTATTTCATTTTTCCATTTGCCATATTGGCTATAACCATCGATTGTTGAGTGATTGAGTTGATAATTGACGGGGAATTAATGGAGATACTCTTTAGGCTTTCTCTAATAAGTTTAGTGAGATATGGTGATTTTATTTTGAGTTTCAAAATTAAGATTGCCTTAATTTCTGAGATTGTAAAAATATTTAACTTAGATTGTTTTTCTGAAAGTTCTCCTATTAGCCAAACTTTTTTTTGGGCCACAAAGGGGAATCTCCATATTTGACTTACGCGCTCATGACCTTTTACTAGAATAAAGCCTTAAATCTTTTCCATTCAGACAGGGAATTCCCAGTTTGTCTGGTGGAAGCACACAGTGGAAGTTTTCGTTGTGAATGATTTACGATTTCTGTGTTTCTGGCCTTCTGAACTTGGCTCTTTAAACCCCACGCGAGGGTCCAGTTCTCCTGGGGTATATTACGAATTAACTTTAAGTAAACTTGGATTTCTTTCTAATTTATTTGTTGATTTATTGTGCTTGAACTCGAATCCTTTACATGATTAAAGAACCCTGTTTGCTTGAACTTTGCCTTAAACTGGCCCACTTCGTTCAACACCTTGACACCTGAGAGGTGGAAAATCCTGCTCCTCTCACCTGCGACCAGGTGACAGTTTCAGTTCGCCTTTTGTGCGCGGCACTTCAACACTAATGCGCGACCGCATAACGGTAATTTATGCAGACATATTGTATTTCAAGGACATGCTCATTACACGCCACCCGCGTCTTTGTTGTTCTTGCTGTTCTTGCTGTTGGCCAGGGAAACTGGAGTTGGCCAAGTAGAAGAGGCGACCGGCATTAGCATTTCCAGGGACCGGACTGATTTTCATAATATCGCAAGGGGTAGTTTCACTTTCATAAGAAGCTTGAGACTCCCTTAACGATTTTCTTATTTTTTATCCACTCAAAATGATGTATTTGTTTTGATAATATAAGTATCTCAAAAGTTGTAATAAATCTTAAAGATTCATAATCTATTAAGTAGAACAGGTGAGCAGCATTAGCGTTTCCGGGAACTGGATTGATTTTAATAATGTCGCCAGGGGTAGTTTCATTGTAAAAGAAACTTGCGACAAGTTAAGGTTGTTTTCTTTTATGCATACTCAAAAAAAAGGAAAATACATTTATATTGAGGCTTTTAAAAGCTGCCTGAATTCGATGAATTTAGAAATTACATTTTGAGGGGTGTTTAATCACGTCTAATCATGTTTAATCATGATTTAATCATGTTTAAATTGACTTGACTTTTTAAGGTTAGTTCAAATATCTTATAAATGTGGATATAAGATCGTGCTGGATTGGCAAGTCTTTTTAAGTTCACAGGAATTTTAAGATCTGTTTAAATTGCTCATATACATTTGTTTTGATATTTTCAACTGGATATATAAGGCACCATACTCTGTATTCCAAATTTTATAAACTTATCGTTTTAATATAATCTTTTGAATTCGTTATTAACACACCTGGAAGATTCTTAGAATGAATGTTTCCTCTATGGAACTCACACGAATTTGAACTGTCATCAAAAGGAAATCCCGGGTAATTTAATTGGTCTGAAAGAGAGTTAGGAGATTCGGTTAGCTTCCTTTATTGTTTTTTCTTCCGTTGCTTGATGTCCCACCTTTATGGCCTGAGGTTGCCTCTAAAAGCCCATTGTTCCATTGTTTTAGCTGCCGTAGTTTGTCGTAGTTGTGGCTGCTGTTTGCTTTGTTTAGCGGTGGGTGTTTGCCGGATGGGTGGGTGATGGGGTGATGGGTGTCCTGTGGGTGGTTCGGTGACTGGGACAAAGTGCTTTTAGTAGTTCGGCCTTGTCCACCGCAAGATCGCCAGGAGAAGAGAGCTGAGTCGGAGCTGGGAGCTCGGCTTGTCATGTCTTTGGCCGGGCATTAAGTTAATGCTGCGGCCTGGAACGGCACACAGACATCCTTGACATCCCTGACATTTCCACTCCGGCCGCAAAACCAGACTTGTCTTTACATTTGGACTCGGATCCGGATCTGTGGGTCTATGGGTCTGTGGCCCTGTGTGGGTGTCCTTCTTGTCTGACGTTCATTAAGTCATTAGGCATTGTTCCGGCTCTCGAGCTGCGAAAGCCTGCGGTGTCTGTGCCAAACAGGTGAGAAATTGCTTAATTGTGATTTCAACGCATATCAGCCGGAGGTCCTGACCCCTCGTCCTGCTGCATTTGAGTTCATGGTCAATTCAATTAGGCCACCGTTCGTCTAGGAACTTGACCACAGCTTGTAATTGTCTTAATTGCAAAGTGTCCCTGTGAAGTAATCAACAAAGGGGGGCATGTTTTATCACCACAAATGCAAAGATAATATGATAAATGTATACATATTATACTAAATTAATTAAAAAACAAATAAAAGCTATGCCCTAAGGCATTTGGTTTTTGAGTTCTTTAGGGTAAGATTAACTGACTGCCCCTCTTTCTGTAATTCTTTTGAGTTAGCTGCAAACGCTTCCTTGTCTCGGATTGTGGCACTAATGAGCAAAGTATGAAGAACCCTTTGAGCAGTCCTGCTTTGGGGGAAAGTTCCACTTCTTATTTCACCCCTTAAGCTCCTAATGTTTATTTGCATCTCGGGCATTGCACTTTAATTAAGGAATGACACATACACACACCTGTCCAGCTTTCTGATTTTTTTTTTTGCCATGGGGTTAATGTGCTGACAATTGTTTGCCCTGTTTTTTCTGCCTGTCGTTTGTTTATTTGACTTATGTTGACAATCGTGTGAATTAAGCATGGCTGAAAAAATTCCAAAATCCACAGAAGCAAAAAGTTTTTTGTCACATTTATTTAAACAATACTTTATGCAGTGTCAGCATTGCATTTAAGCGTTTTATTTATGTGGACAATCGTTCACATGCGGATAAAATCTATTTTTTTTTTAGAATACTTTGGGTATCTTGAATTGGGGTCGAACTGTCAAGGGTAATTTAGTTTTTAATTTTTTGTAGACATTTTATGCTGGCTTTTTATATGTTTTGGTTGACTTAATTGCTTTGGAATCTTAAATCACAAGCGTTTTAAATATCAATTTATGTTTTTTTTTATAGATACATAAAGATAAATAAATTAAAAATAAATAACTCATAACATTAAATACATATATATTTATCTATACTCTTCTTAAAATGTATTAAGCCATTTTATTTATAATAAGTTTTAAAATTATGTATCTTTATGATATGCTGGTTATTTTCCTTTGGATAGATACACAAGACACATTAAGATAAATATTTCTACCATACCACATTCACTTAAATATAACATCTTAATAATGCTTCCTCTTAGGTCTTCCTGTTTCTGAGGCATTTGCTTAACCTTTGACCTGTTGTTCCCCAGCGAACAAATATCAATTAGCGTTCGACTCTCATTTGGCCTAGACGCGGCCACAAACAAATTTATGGCCAGACAGTGGGGCACACGTGGCGGATGAGATTTCCCCGTGAGCTGGATGTGTGTTTACCCAGCGATGCGTCATATACAGCCGGCAGACAAACAGCATATGGCATAGAGCTCCGGGATCCTTTGACTCTTGCGATGCGACAACAAAATGTCGCAGTTCCTGGGAAAATTACAATTCGGTTTTGGGTTCTGTCTTATGTCACGCAGATACTCACATTCGTTGGATTTTATTATCATTTTGTTACGTGTGCTTTTATTGCCCGCTGCTGGCAAACAAGCACCGGAATGTATCTGGCGTACGCTGCGTATACGTGATATGTGATTATCTTGGCGTCAAGCGTTTGCCCGACGTTTGTTTATTGGCGAAAGTCAGAGCCAAATACCTTTGCCAACAAACAACGTTGTTTCGTTAAATTACGTCGACTAACACAAACAGAAATAGTTGTCGTTGTTGTTCTTGTCTACCAGCAAATCAAAGGCCATATTGAATTCTTTAGCAGCAGACTTGTTGACCATCTTGTTGACTTTTAAAGCAAAAACGGCCCTTAAAGCCCAGTCCAACTAACCAACTTTGGCATTCCCCAGGATCCCTTTCCACACCGGTTTTTTCTCTTGCCGTACGTGGTATCCGTTGGCTGATTATTTAAAAATTTATGAAGCCAACCAAGCGCAGCTGAAAACTTTTGCACAAAACTAAACAAACTGCAGCAACAAAGAATAGGGAGTGTGTACTGTATAGTATAAGTAACAAACACGGCAACATGGACGACGACTATGATGACGACGACAGCAGCAACAACGGCAGCAACAGCAACAGCAGCAACAGCAACAGCGACAGCGACAACATCGCCGACAGCGGCAACAACAACATCAACAACGGGGGAACAACACTAACTCCAACAAAAGCAATAATGGAAAAAGGAAGCTGCGATGCGAGTGTGAGTTAGTGCACTGAAAACAAAAACTGGTTGGTAAACAAAAGAATGTAATACTAATATTTGTACTAATTTTAAAAACAAACATTTAAATGGTTTATTTATTAAAAGGGTATGTGGAATATATAATTATATTTGTATTTCAGGGATAGATACTGTAAATATTTTATTATAAACATCACAATGTTATTATTTTAATCTCTAAATTAATATAAGCATTTTATTATATGTAGTATTTTTTTAAAAATTTGTTTTAAAGTACTTGAAAATTATTATATAAAAAAAAATATTGGTTCGATCTAAAATTTCTTATTTGGAAGACACCTGAAATGAGTTTATACCAATTTAGATCTAAAGACTTATAGTTTTCAGAGTTAATAACTAGAGATTTAGAAAGAGGATAGATGTTACTAAAATTTTTATTATAAACATCACAGTGTTATTATTTTAATCTCAAAATTAAAATAAACATTTCATTAAGTGTATTATTTTTAAACTATTTATGTTAAAGAACTTGAAAAATATTAATATAATTACAAAATTGGTTCGATCTAAACTGTAGAAGCTTATTTAGATGACACCTGAAATGAGTTTATACCAATTTAGATCTAAAGATTTTTTGTTTTCAGAGCTAGGAACTATAGCTTTAGAAAGGGTCAGACACAGCTTATATTATTTTATTTTATTTTTATAAAATCATTGAAAATTTTTGAATTTTGTTTTGTTAGCTTGAAGTCATCCCATTTAATTCTAAAACTTATTAATTAGGTTGGCACTTTAAAATTGAATTTTTTTGAGTGGCTTGTGTTTGCTGCGTATTCCGCTGGCGAGTCTTGCTAACCACCGCAAGCAGCCATGCACAGCACCACCCAGACGCCAGACCGCCAAACAACCCACCACCCACTTGCCACCACCCACCGCCCAACCACCCAAGTAACCGCCCAAACGTTCGCGGCACGCTGCTGCTGATAATGTGCAGCGTGGAAAACTTTCAACATAGTTTGCTACTTAACTCGAGCGTAATAATAAAAGTGCTAAATCTTTGCTTATATTCACTTTGAACAGTAGCGAAAAGGGGGGACCCGGGGGTCATGGGTCAGCTTCTGCGGCGGCGGCAACGCAAATATTAAGAGAGCCACAAAAGAATACCATTAAACGCGAACTCCGGGGACCACATACACACACTCCACTTTCCGAAAGGTGAAAGGTGAAAGCCGAAAGCAAAGCGTCAGCAATTATACAAAATGCTGGAAAGGCAAACAAGCAAAACAACCTGGACAGCAACAAAAAGAACCACATTGGGGCATTGGCGAAAACAAAAACAGAAAACGCTCTAAAGTTATGTGGGAAAAGTTCTACGTTTTATGGTGTTTAGCAGAAAGTTTTGTGGAAAGAAGTGGGTAAAAGTAAGACCTCTAGCATAAATATTTTTATGATGCGCACTTTAATATCATGGGCCAAAAGCAAGATGGTATTACTTAGCTAACTAAGCTCATATTGCAAGAATGCAGTTTCTAACGTCCTGACTTTCACAGAGATTAAAGCGTAAAAGCCGTGGCAAAGTCTCTGTTATTTTATTTCCGATTCATTGGCTATATTTATGATAAATTTGGCAAATTTAAATATCACTAAGGGAGTATATATTTGAAAAAAGTATGAGTGTATCCCTACAATTAACCACACGGAAAGAAAAAGGGCTAAAAGGCACCATTTTTTAGTTTTTTGTTATAAACATACATTTTTGTATAATCAAATAAAAAATTGGCTTGCCATATTTCTATTCTATTCTATTCAATTAATGTTGGCCAATTGATTTTAATTATTAATTGATTTCATTATTCGCCAAACTGTATTTACCCTTTTTTTTGCTTACCAAATTTTTTTCCATTTTAACAGTGGTTTCCATTTAAAGTCAATATTCTTTTGGGTGCATAAAATATTCAGGCAGTTAATGAGTTCAGTTTACACAAAATAAATGTTTAAAAAAGTATAGGTTGGTTAATAAATAAAAGCAGTTGTGGGTTGAATTCATCTGAATTTCCACAAATATCTTTGAAAGCATCGATTTCTTGGCTGATATGTACCTCTGAGTATTTATAATTCATGTTTAAATCGAGCATATTGTAAAATGCACTTTGGCTAATTAAACATTGAAAGCAATCAAATTAATTAGCCTGAATCAACACGATTATTGGGTCGTTGTTGAAATTTCCAATCAAATTCATTAATGCTCACGGTCTTATCTAAACACAGCCCCACCTCCAGCCAAATGTCACCGTGTCTATAGACTCATTTGCATTTGTTTTCACCCCCAATATTTATGTGCAAACCTGAAATGGATGCCACAATATTGAACTGTTTCTAGATATTTATTAGTTCGACAGCCGACATAGACTAATATTTTCACAGGCATTTATTGGATGTGGCAAGCTAGGTAACTCTTCATTTTAGACATACATAAATATACTCTTGTCTGATGGCCAGACCCGCCCGATATTCCCGGGCTTTCCGGCAACTTTTCGGCGGCCACGTATTTTCCTTTTTATAGCTTTCATTTTTCAATAAATTTGATTACGCGGCGCTTTGTGATTATTGGTGCGTGAAAAAATAAATTTAATTTTTTTCATCCCGCCGGCCAGCGCCTAAGCGGGGGCGTG